TGCTTTTGTGATTTGTGCATCTTTATCGAATGAGAGTCTTCAAAAAAAAAAAACAAGAGATGCAACTGATCTATGTGCACTAATTAATCAATGATAATGATCATTGTTTTCGCATCAAATGAAAGCAGCACATTCATAAATGCACGTAAATACATAACCAGCGTGCTGTGTTCTTCTATTGTGTGGCGCAGTAAACACGAGAATAACGAATGAATCCGTTGTGGCTAGTGGCATGGCCCGGATTATTTTCAATGGGGAAGAGGCAAAATAGTTCGGCCTAAAAATAGTCCTTATGGCGGGCATATCACTATCCTTATGGCATATCACGTATGCCATAAGAATATTGATATCATCATCCTTATGGCATATCACGTATCATTTCTTGATACGTGATATGTCATAAGAAATGCCATTAATCGGTACAATTAAAAAGTTTTTGAAGTGTTTTTTGCCCACAATCAGCAATTTTGAAGCGTAACGAATGAGATTGTAACTAACTGAATCGATGCACTAAACTGTTCGATGCTCAAAAAGAGATAAAAAATCGTTTACAATCACGATGTGATAACGAATGATCGCATACAAATGAGATCTAATCAAATGATAAATTGAATTACACTATGAAAAAGACCACTTTTTACGATCACAAACCAAACGAATACGTGACTACTTCTAAACCCCATTTTTTCGTCTTCAGTTGCTTTCGAAACAAACAAGACAAATAGCGTAGCAGAAGAGTTCATCATTGCTCGACTTATAAACAAGAGCATTAATCAAACAATACCTTGCATCCACTTCAGTTGATACTCGACCCGGAATGATTGTCAGAATTTGTTTTCCAAATAATACAAATAATTTCTCCATAGCGATCGTCCTGATCTGTATCGAATGTGTATTTTCATTATTAACGTTCACAGTGAAACGAAAAACGAATGCAAATGGGCAGAAGACAAGACGATCGATTGCTAAATGGTTCCTGGAGAGTCTGATAACAGTATCATTATATGCTTTAGATGAAGTCCACCTTTTCGAATATTTCTTATTTCATGGTCTTGTGGGAATATGAACATGACCACATGAATACCGCATCTCTCCTCGAAAAAGTTGTCATCTCAATCAGAAACGCGAACCTGATCTCGATCAGTGGCATGCTTCTTGGCGTATTCAATTGCTTCAGTCAGGAAGTGCTTGTAGGCATCCATCTTCGTAGCGGCAAGCAGCAAAGAAGGATTCGTGGTTGCATCAGTCGGATGAAATTCTTCCATTGCTTAAAA